TGTGGTCAGCTAGATCCGGCCCATAAGGCAGCGTGGCGTTATGAAAGCCGCACTAAAATGAAGGCGGATGTTCAGTTCATCGGAACATACGTCCTTTGAAGGGGCTCAATTTTCCAAGGTGTCCAATACAGAAAAGTCATTATTATTTATGCTTTATTTAAGGACAATTTTCTGGGAATCACCAGCAACTATCGAGCTTAGACCAGTAGTAATTATGAATCCTTCCTATACGTTACATTTGAGCTGACTCAAGCATATGATGTTGCGTTTACCGTACAATATCTAGCAACTATGGTTGTGTCTGCACAGCTTGCGTTCCTCCTTACAATAAAATGGTTATCTAATTATGGTAGCACGTGTTCTGCTTTATCAGTCATTAATAAACCCTTTGCATGAACCTTCCATCTCCACCGAATCCTATGTCCGATTAGAGCAGCTTTACTGTCGTCCGGTTCAGTGCCACGCCTATCCTAGCGGGCTTTATGCAGTTCACTTCTTCAATTCCCCGGGTTCAAGCAACCGATTTACACCACTGAAAAGCAGGTTTTCGTGACTATTAGATCCATCCTGTTTGCTGTTCGTCACACAAATTTATATGATCAAAATGATTAGAGTTAACACTTTTAGAATATCGTTTGACGAGTCCCAGTCAGTACAAATATTTCCATCGCATTTAGTTTAAAGTCAACAGTTGGCACTAAAGAGAAAATATCAAAGCCACCATCCCCGCTTGTGTGACGCGTTTCTAATATTGAAGGACTGTACTTCGGTGCGAACTACAGGCTGGCAGAAGACGATCCCGTTCATTCACGATAACCTTTGACTGCACTTAAATGGTGTAAACAAAAAACATTGATGTTGGAAAAGCAATGACCATAAACTCACTCACCACAGCCCATAAGAGACCAAAACAACCTTGATGATCAGCCACATTCGGATCCACACCTACTAGACAGGTTGGTCTGAATCCGTTTTGCAACATGTCTCGTTTCACCTGCTCCACCATCCCCGCTTGACAGCTGGACAAAAATTGCATTCCAGCTTGTTCATTTGGACCACTGGCAATGGCAGATCGCTTCTTGTTTCTACCACGTGTTTGTCTGATCCGAGCACGCCACAAATTGGCCCATTCCAACGGTTTGGGGTTCGTGTTGATCTCCGTTGACTCGGTATTTATGGTCGGATTCGTCGATTTCCATCGAGCAGAAGCGTCGCGAATAAATTCATGAAGATAGGACATTTGCGTCACCCGATTACGTACGAGGCGCATATTGGCGGTTTGGAATTGCTCGAATTCAAGCCTGATACAAAAGAAATGATACATGAAATTACCCCATGGAACTCGCATGGATGGTGGTTTTTAAGTGCAGCACTCCGTAAATAAATCTAAATTAATTTGGGGAAGCAGTGGGTTTGTAATTAGACAAAATGAATGCACATGTGTTTGATTCATTTCCTACATTATATTTTTCTTTTTTTGGAGTTTTCTTCCTTACAATTTCCGGGATTCTCCTAACGTGCACGTCTAGTGTGTATGTGAAAATGATATAGGCGTATTACAGAGCATCGTTCATCATATATATATATATATATATGTATATAAGAGAGTCATTTTAGTGAATCAACGACAATTATCCTCATTTGTTTGCAATTCCAATCATCAGGTGAGGTATACCAGTTAATTTTCCTGTTAATAAGATTGATTGAATTTTTATTGCATCCACGACCGACGACTTCTAATCGAAACTCCCAAACAGTTTGAATTTTGCCAAAATTTATACAGGAAACTAGTTTGATAACTGCTTTAACAAAATATTTGTTTACGTTCCGACTTCAGCCTTCACAACCATTAACCATGACCCTTTGTGCGGTTGTTTTGGTTGCTGCGCATTCGGATAAAGGAGCAGAAGGGAGGTTAGAATGTTGATAGCCCAATCAATCACAATTTAGAGAATTCGTACTGATTCGGGTTGCAAGGACAATGAGTAGATGCACGAATGCCACTGTTTTTGACATTCAGCAATACCAATCAGTGTCGCTAACTACCGGTTACCCTAATATCAGGGTCCTCATTAAGGAAGCATAACGCGACCTACGGGTCTAATCGAAGGTGAAGCAACGGGTCCCTGTGAAACACTTGTCGGTTCGTATAGGCAACACGTAATGGTTGTAAAAGTAGTAGTAGTTATACGCATGGATCTCGGAACGCCAAACACGCAATATGAATCACAGGACCCGAATCAATAATCAGCTATCACGGACTGGATC